CATGTAGATAAAGCAAAACAAAATTACAGTTATACGTAGACTTGTACTATCTAGCACGTTAACTAATATGTACCATAGTTTATCTGCATATTGTTATGACACAGGTAATTATAGACATCTAAAGGATGTGTTAGACAATTCGAAATTTAGGATTTGGAAACAAAAGAATTTTATCAGTAGTCAACAGTGTTATCAGCTACTGAAAAGCATGTATGTTATGAATAAGTAGTAAGGGATCAGTATCACTGTGAGTTCATATTTTGAAGAAAATTCAATTCCTCAGTTCACACACAAGCCCCTTCTACACTGGGTTACACCCCCTTCTGCCACTATTTTTGTTGCTTTTGTTGCGATACAGCAGAAGCATGCACTGAAAGCCATTTGGGTAAAAGCCATGTTTGTGCATGTCTTCACAAAGCACTTGGTATACTTCAAGAAGAATGGCAATTAGCAATGCATGGATTTTTTCAGTGGATGTTGAGTTGAATGATGAGTGATATCACACGTTAGTGATCTTTACTAAAGGCATCACAGTATCACAGTTCCCACAGATGATTGATTACGGAATACTGTGGCAAATGCTCTATCTTGAATGAATTCAGTCTCCATTTCATTTTTGTTCCTCTCTTTTTTCTTTTTCTTGCATAAAGATTTTTTTTTTTTTTAAACCTTAGGACTTAAGTAATTACTGTGCAGAAAAGAGAAGAATAACTCAAGCAAAAATGTTGTCATGAAGTTTAAGTTAGGATGGTCATAACCCAAACAAGAAATCCACTATTTACCTTCAGTTTTATTGTATTTTGTTTGAAAACTAAGCCCATTTTCCTCCAAGACAGCTGACCCACAGCTCTCAGGCTATACTGGATTTTATCTTCCCATCACAGAGGAGTATTTGAAAATTCAAAATGAAGGACAGAAAGAATGCTAATTACAGACTCACCCACTGTTGCCAAAGTTTCCCACACTGTCATAATTACATTGAGAGAGTTAAGCAGAAAATTGAAAACGTCTGCAGAGGGAAATGCCTGTACATTTGTTTCACAGTTTGTACACACTGTGCAGTTATTTCAGTTTCAGGAATGACTGGAAATAGTTTTCTCTGTTCATAAAAGGGCTGTACAGAACAAAACTCTCCTGCTAGAAATTGAACAAAACACTCACTGACAGAATTTTTCTGAGACACAAGGCTGTTCTCCTGCTTCATGTCCTGACACAACATGACGGAAGCATAATCTGAAATATGTATCATCAAATTTTGAATGATAACTGCATTAATAAGGTCAGTGTTAAAGTGACACCAAAAATGGATCTAAAGGGGAAAAAAAATGTTGTAAAACTCATTTCCCCAGTGTATGTCCGAATTATCTTTTCTATATAGGTCTTTATCTTTGGAGACCTGCACCGCAGGACCTCAAGGGGGCTTATCAGAAAGCACTGCCTGTTTCATTGCACCTTACAGTAAATCCAGAATTCCAGCTGTGTGCTGTTGGTATTTTCAGTCAGAAGAAAATCCTTGGCTTTATCTGCACATTTTGGAAGCTGCCTACTAATTTACTAAAACAGTGATACACTAATGCCCTGGTAGAATCCACCACTTGTAGTAACAGTAGGTTTCAGAGGACAGAGCTACACTGGCTCTGGAAGAAATGAGTCATCTGTTTGATTCAGCAGTGTATTGGCTATACTGTCCTTCAAAAGTCATCTACTCCATGTCACACTCCACTTGAACATGGAGAATAATTTAAGCAATCTTAGGCATTGCAGGACCATGTCTGAACATTCACCAAAACATTTCCATGGAATTCAAATGCTTTGCATTAATCTGATGTCAGAATTGGAAGTCCCAATAGCTCTTTTTTTTTTTTTTTTTTTAACCAGGAGAATATTTCAACTTTCACGTCTTTCTTCAAGATTACTAAGTTTTGGCTTTCTCACAATTTATGAGTTCATGCATGGGCAATACAATTTCATTTTCACAGATGTGACAAATTTTCTTCAGCGAGTTTCTAAGCTTAAGCCTATGTTTCAGTATTTTGTTGTATGGGGGCAGCCCTTGATGTCGTCAAGAGGCACTGGATGACATATGTCTTCTCTAATCCCCGTGACATCCAATTTTCACTTGACCATGCAGTTCTAAGGAGTGTTTGATATTCTTTTTATAGAGAGGAGGATTTGCTGGGGAACTGAAACATTTCAGGAGTCCTTGGATCCCAATTAATAGCCTCACCACATCCTTTGGGCAAGGAAAGTCATGATGTCTTACTGTTCCTGCAAGGTGGTGCTAATCAAAATAGGCTAAGCACATGAAATCCAAAATCAGGCAAAACACTATCACATCCAGAAGATAAAGCCAAAGACTCAACAAGAACTGTATTTCATCTGCTTATACTAAGGGTAAATCCAAAGGGCATCCTCTTCTCTTACGCAGATGACTTTCTGTTCTCTGCCACCTCCACTCTATTCTTGCTGAAGTGTGACATCTTTAACAGTCTTGCTTGACCTTAACCCTCCTAATCAAAGACAAGTTTTCCTTTCCATAGGTATGCAAATACATCATTGTTGTACCAAGAGTTTGCAGTGCTCAGAAGACAGCTCTGGCTTCCAGTTGTTGCGGCTTGGTTGATTCTATCACCAGCAACAGGGCTTCTCTTCCCCACCTTTCCCTCTCCTTGAGGTGGAAAAAGGTACAGAGGAAGCAACCAAGATAAGGAGGGATACCTAATTTACTACAAATGATAAAAGAATGTAAGACACTATGATACAAAAAGGAGTTCCAGATAATAAATCATACAAATGGGTGAGAGAAGAGTTCAGATAATGTTGCTTGCTATGTTAATGGAAACAGAAGAGGGGTTTTCTTCCCCATCAGTGTGCTATTCTACATCTTTTACCTGGAATTGGACATCACATGGGGAGTATTGGAGACTTCAGGGTCTGCAGTTTGTCTCTTTTCAGTGTACCTTCCTCTAGGTACACTGAGAGCTGCAACACATGTAAGCTGACACTTCTGACCCCAGAATTACAGTTCCCTGGCATTGTGCTTCAGCACTAAAACAGCTTGCCACATGATGTCATGATATGGAATACTGATAAAACCAGTACACCAATAAAGTGTAGTAATTGAAGCTCTCCCTTTCATAGTTGCTGGCATTCTTCAAGGAGGAATGCATATCTTACTGACTCTTTATGTCCCGTCAGCTTGTACAAACTTCTAATTCATCCAGTAATATCCAGTCCATTACTGACTTTTGAGTCTATAAATTATAGCAGTCTAATACTGTGGAGCACCCACAGGTGCGTGTTGATGGATCTCCACTTTTCTCCTGGGTAAAGTCTATCAATAGGTATCCAAGAAATCACTAGAAAGAATTTCTGAATTTCTGATCGAACAACTAACATAGGAAGATCATATACTTTGTTTTAGTATCTGCTTTTATTACCTACCATTCAATTTTCAAATGTTTCCCTTTATTTTTTTCCCCTGGGTCTGTCCTTGAAGGAGACCTGACTGTTTCACATGGTAGTGAAACACACACATTACAATCAAGGCACATCACTGGGTTCACACGCTGAGCACAGATATCAGGCACACTGATATGTCCAAGGGGAAGCCTAGAATCAAAGGGCAACAACGGCTTTTGTATTTTGAACTTTTCATGGGGATTTGTGAAAATCCGGGTAAAATAATTTACTGCTTTCAAATAAAGAGAGAAACCATGTATTTTCACATTTGCCAACAAAACTCCTTTTATTTATTGTATGTCTTAAGCCAGTAATAAGTAACAGGATCCAGAAAAAAAATGGTGGAATGTTTAAAGCCAGGTTTCTAGTTAGGGTTTTAACATATGAAATGTGTTAATTATCTCAACTTAGTAAACTGACTGTAGACAATGATTCAATAGAAGAATACGACTGGTTCAATGTTCACTCAATCTGTGTGTCTGCAGATGATATCTATGTTCCCACTAGTGTTGGTTCACAAGCATACTTCCATTTTTGTGTCAAGGCCTCTGGCTTTCTCCTTTAGTAGTCTAGACTCTCACATACACCCCTTTTAGCTACTGCCATTTAATGAAAGACCAGCAGAAAGGAATTGACATTGGTGCCTTTTCAGATAAAATAAGATTTTAATTATGCAATTTATACACTGAGCGAGCTCCAGCGGTGACATTCTTTAGGAATCCAACTGAGTAATATCTGTATGAAGGTCAGGCAGCTGTATTCAGAGGGAAAGCTATACTTGTGATGCCAATTTCCCGCTGTCTCTGGACTTGGTCAGCCGCGCATAGGGGCATCTCCTTTGTGCTGGAAGAACAGTGTCCTCTGTGGAGGGCCGTTGAGGAAGAATAGTAAGTGTTGCATGATTTTGTCTGAATCCTCACAGAAATGCATAGGGCAGTTAGTACATTGTACCTTGAGTCCAGGCATCACCTATGCATGCACTCTACAGAGCTGGGAGCCAGCCAAATGGCTGACTAACTGTGTGTGGGAACCAAATCCCATTTATCACCTCATTTAGGTCATCGAGCTCCCAACATGAGTTTGGAGGTACTTTAAATCTAGGGAAGAGCCAGAACAGTTTTAATGCCCTTTGAGCTGGTGCAAATATCTGGAACGTATGGGAGAACTACAACAGCATGGGAAAAAGTGGACAGAAAAACAAAGCTGGGTACAGAGGTGAACTGAGTAAAAGTCAGTCTAAAAGCAACATCCCTTGCTTGTTTTGCAGCAATATCTAGGTGTGAATGTTTAGTTTCATAAACACTGTCTGCAAGTGTTGAAACCTTCACCTTGAGCTCTCACTGGCTGCATTCCTACTGCTTACACAAAAGCAGAGTTTATGTTAATGCCTAGATCCTCCCTCCCCCCCCCTCCCCCCCCCCCCGT